CTCAGGGACACCTTAGTATACAGTCCCTGTGTATGAACCTTTAAGAGGTTTGAGTGGGGGAAAAGGTTACTGAAGGTCAGGCTATGGGCTCTAACATGCATGTGCTCTGGCCTAGAGTTTTAGAGATTTCCTGGGTCTGTTATTTTCATCTTTGCTTCTCTTAGGACAGTGGAAATTCAGGTAGATGAAAGGGTGTGGCCTCCTATCCCCAACTGGGTACCTGTGCTAGTCTGACCTGACTGCCCTAATGGGTCTTGTGTGGTGTCACTCCTGGAGCAGATCTGGGTCTTCCTTCTGGGGGAAAGTTACAAAACATCTTCAAATTCCAGCACCTGAGGGTGTGCGGGGTTGGGTTCCCAGAAGCAGACTCAGACTAGGATTCCTGTAAAATCCTTTTATTAGGAAGCATTCAAAGATAAAAGCAGGGTGGGAATTAGTGGTGAGTCTAAGAAAGAAGGAGGTCCAATTGAAACCAAGAGGTTAAAATGGCTCTCCAGTTTTCTCATGCAAGAATAAAACTCCTCCAGCTCTGGGACCAAGGAGGTTTCAACAGAACCAGATTTTCAACATTTTTGAGGCCCTCTTGTGGGCCAAAGCCTGGCTAAATATACATAGGGTTACTTCCTGGCTTTTGTTCTGCCTAGTTTATAAATTGGAGTGGTCTGTGTGGTGGGGGTGGGGTCAGAGCAGCAGACAACGTTTTCCCAATTGGGCCAAATTATGAATAAAGTAATTTTTCCATTTTTATTGGCTTTTCTCAGATTCTTGATGGCAGGTGGATAAAATCCACATAGTACGGGCTCAGATTTAGGTCTCCCAATGGAACTCCTGGTAACAAAACAAAGGCTTGGCACATGACAGTTCAATGCTAGAGAAGAGTCTGGAGACTATAGGTCATCTCAGACCTGTCCAGGGAGCGAGGGCATTTATACTCCTGCTGTGGTCACTAACAGATGTAAACAGTGGGTCCTATAGCCCCAGGGAGCCCTCAAGAGAAGCAAGGACGGAGAAGCTGAGGTGTGAAATGATGGAAAAGCTGAAAGATGTGGAAGGCCCAGCGGCAGAGTCTTAAGAAGTCTAGTCTGCATGTGAGGATCCCACTTTCTTGAGGAAGTACCACACTGTTTTCCAGAGGAGCAATCCCATTTTATATTCCTGCTCTGCACCCTCTTATCCATAAGGCAGCACAGGAGGGTTCAAATCTCTCCACATCCTGTCAACACTTGTTACTATTTGCCTTTTTAAAAAAAAATCAGAGCCATAGTTAGTAGGTATGAAAAAGTGGTTCTTTTTTTTTGTATTTTAGACTTTTATTAATAAAAAATAATCTTCTTACACAAACACAACATGCTTTTCCTTACAAAACAACACACTTTCCCCTACTAAATGATAATCATATTCCACCCTACTTGCAAATGAAGCATAAGTCTGCCACAGGTTCATGGACACCAGCAGAAAACCAGATTCCTGGGTCAGAGACAAAGGATTTTATTACTCATGATAATCAAAGTAGCCAGAGTATTAGCATTTCATGTAACAATTCCCTGAGCTCTAGTTCCCCCAGGATAGGGCAAAAGAGGGCCAAGGGACATCTGTTCATATAGCCAGGTTGTGTTACAGGAAAAAAAACCCTGAGCTTAGGGAATCTGAATTTTTTATATAAGATATTAAGCATAATTGCCCTTTGCTCCTAGGAAGATGCTATCTCTATCTTTTAAGGCTATTTGCTATGTAAAGACACAGTTGAGAAATGATAGCCTAAAGGCAGAAACACAAAACATGCAGAAACATGAGAGCCCTAGGGAGAACTGCCACCCAACACTACTTAGAAAAAACTTTAAGTACTACTTAAAGATATTAATGCCCAGGCTCTCTGTGGTTCTGATTTCCATTTCCTTATGATGAATGATGTTGTGCATCATTTCATGTGCTTACTGGTCACTTGTATATCTTTTTGCAAAAATATTCAAGTCTTTTACTTATTCTCAATTGAGATGTGTTCATATCATTGAGTTGTAAAGGTTATTTCTATATTCTGGAGATAGGTGCCCTAGTAGATAGATGATTTGCATATATTTTCACTCCTGCTGTAGGTCGTCAGTGTGTGTGTGTGTGTTGTGCTGGGGCCAGAACCCAAGAGGGCCTCCTGCTCTACTACTGAGCTATAGTCCCAGCCTCCCTTCACACTTTGTGTTATACACATCAATGGGCTTCATTTTGGCAGACTTGTACATGTATATAAATACTTTGATCATTTTCACACCACTCAATCATCCTCCTTTATTATCTTGAGATTTACATTTATAGCACAAAATTCTTTATTTTAATGTGGTCCAACATTGTGTGTGTGTGTGTGTGTGTGTGTGTGTGTGTGTGTGTGTGTGTTTTTCAAGACAGGGTCTCACTATGCAGTTCAGGCTGGCCTTGAGCTCACTTTGTAGCCCATGCTGGTCTCAAACTCACAACAATCCTCTTGCCTTAGCCTCCCGAGTGCTGGGATTACAGGCATGCGCCCCCATGCCTGGCTAATGTGGTCCAGTATTTCTATTTTCATTTTCCTACTTTCACTTTTGCTTTTAGTATCTTTTTCAGTTAATCTACTTATGCTTTTGTTCACCCATTCTATTATTTCTTTTAAAATTTCATCATCTTGCTGGCATGGTGACGCATGCGTATAATCCCAGCAGTCAGGAGGCTGAGGCAGGAAGACAGCCACAAGTTCAAGGCCGGCATGGGCTATATAGTGAATTCAAGACCAGCCTGGAGTACATAGCCTCAGGAGTTGTCATTAAGTAGGCAGCAAAGGGCTATATCTCAAAAAACAAAAAGTTTTTTTCATCATTTCTGCTTTAAAATTTATTTGTACTTTCTTTAGATTTACTGATATTCTTTGTCTATCTTCTTAAATTCAACATTTAACTTTTAAACATATTAATTCTTGATTTATAATTATCAAAGGACATTAAATTATTTGCCTCAAGTTTATAAATTAATGAAGTGATCAGTAATCATTATCAGGAATTGATTAATATTTTAAGATCTGGGTAGTATAAGTTGAAGAAGGGAAAATGGGGAAAGAAAGGACATTGACAATTTTATGGGAAGAAAATGCACAAAAAAGAGAAAGGGCTGAGGATGTAGCTTAGTGGTAAGGTACTTGCCTAGTGTGTGCAAGGCCCTGCGGGAGAGAGAAAGAGAGAGGCAAAGGGGAGAAAGAAATTTAGGATAAATGGTACAAAAACTCAGTCTCCTCTGAATTCATGGAATTTGTTTAATAAATATGGAAAAGAAGCAAGTATTATAATTTTTCTATAGTTTTCTTCTACAAGTTAGTATTTTTACTTTGGGATCATAAGATTCAGAGAGGATATTATTTTCTTACCTTTAAGCTTTTTAAATTAAATCTTATTTTAAATTTTTAATAATTTAAAAAAGATATTACATATAATATCTATTGATTATATATATATTATTTATTCTGGGAATTGAAGCAAGAGCCTTGGTATTAGAGCTACATCTCCAGCCCCTTTTATTTTTTTACAGGGTCTCACTAAATTTCTAAATTGCTCAGGCTGGGTTCTAAGTTTCAATCCTCCTGCCCCCACCTCCTAGAGTGCTAGGATTACAGATGTGCACTACCACCCCTGGCTCTTTGTATATGTTTATTGCATACATCTTTGTATTTTTTATATATTATATATATAAATTATATATATTTATATTTTATGAAACACGTATATATGGTAGAATGGCTAGACCCAGCTAATTACAATGCACATTACCTCATATGTCTTTTTTTTTTGTAGTGAAAAGACTTAAAGCTACTCTTACAGGAATTTTCAGGAATACAATACATTGAAGCGGGTCTTGGTGGTATGCACCAGTAATCCCAGCATTCTGAGTGACTGATTCAGGAGGATGGAAAATTTGAGCCCAGCCTTGGCAACTCAGTGACTCTGTAAGACTCTGCCTCAAAATAAAAAATAGGTTGGGGATGTAGGTCAGGGCAAAGGCCCTGGGTTCAATCCCCAGTAACACACACACATATACACACACCACAAAACTAGACTTTATCCTTTTTTCTTTTCTTTCTTTCTTTCTTTCTTTCTTTCTTTCTTTCTTTCTTTCTCTTCCTTCCTTTCTCTTTCTTTCTTTCTTTCTTCTTCTTCTTCTTCTTTTTTTTTTTTGAGACAGGGTCTTGCTATGTACTCCAGGCTAGGCTTGAACTTACTATGTAGGCCAGGCTGGACTCCTGCCTCAGCCTCCCCACTGCTGGGACTACAGGCATGTGCCACCACACCTGGCTGTGGAATATTTTTAAAAGTTGACAATACCAAGATCTGGTGAGGATTCAGAGCAATAAAACTTACACGTTGCCAGTGGGAAGGGAATTTGCGACAAGTACTTTGGAAGACAGTTTGGCAACTTCTTAAAAAATTAAACATAAGCTTACCAGGGACTGGGCAATGCCACTTAGCTATTGTATTCAACCAAAGGAACTATGAAGTTAGCTTTCTAAAACAGCTTGTAGTTAAATTAGCCAGAAGTTATAGCTGCTTCATTCGTAGTTGCCCCAAAGAGGAACACTCAAATATGAGTGAATGGACAGTGTTCCATCCCTATAACTGAATGCTGCTTGGGAATAAAAAGAGGGACTACTGATACACGCAGTAAGACAGATGAATCCCTGCCATATTACATGCATTAAAAATGCTGTATTTATCCAGGTGTAGTGGCACATACCTGCAATCCCATCACTCAGGGAGGCTGAGGCAGGAGTGGTCCAAGTTTGAGCCTAGCCTGGGCAATTTAGCCACTTGTATGCTGTCTCAAAATAAAAAATAAGATGGTTGGGCATGGTAGCACATGCCTATAATCCCAGCACTTGGGAGGCTGAGGCAGGAGGATTGCTGCGAATTCAAAATCAGCCTAGGCTACACAATGAGTTCAAGGCCAGCCTAGATTATATAGCAAGATGTGTCTCAAAAACAAATTAATAAAATTAGTTAATAAATTAATTAAAGTGGGCTGTTGATACAGCTCAGTGTGAAGGCCCTGAGTTCAATCTCCAGTGCCAGAAAAAGTCAGATTCAAAAGACTCCACATAGTGTGAGTCTGTGACAAATGAGGCTACAGGTACAAAAACTAGACAGGTGTTTCCAGCGGTGCAGAAGACTCACCATACAGAGCACAAAGGAACTCTGGGTGCTCATAAGAATGTTCTATACCTTGTCTGGTGGGAGCTACACAACTGTATGTCTTTGTGAAAATCCATAGAACAATATGTACACTAAAAAGAGTGAAATCTATTTTATATCAACTATACCTCAAATCTACCTATTAAAAATCCTATCAGAGTCAGGTGTGGTGGTGCACACCTATAATCCCAGTATGCTGGAGGCTGAGGCGGAAGGATCACAAGTTCAAGCCAAGTCTGGGTTACTTGAGAAGATCCTGGATTCATTGTCTAGTACTCCCTCCAAAAAAAATCCTATCAGTAATTACAGTTCTTAAACATGGAGCTATGTGGTAGATGGGGCAGCTGACGCTTTGCTGCTTTCTGAAGTCTCCTTTGCTGAGCTGCAGATCCCCTGAGAACTGAAAAACAAACCAATGTTCACTTTATAAATGGACTCAGCCTGCAGTTACCCTCTTGGGGGCAGGTAACAGAGCAACCTGATGGTGGAGGTAAGGCTTGAACCTGCCCAGTGAGCCTGAAGCTAGGAATTGTAGATCACAAATGTGGGTTAGACAGGAAAGAGGAAATAAGATAGAGATCACTATGTAGGAACGATGCAAATGAGATGGCTCAGTCCTCACACCTCCACCCACAACTGCCAGGCTCTGATGCATTCACGGTTCACCCCGTACACAGTAACCTCTGTAGAGACAACTTCTCCATAATGAATTCCCTCATATTTCAAATTTAATGATTTCACTAGTCACTCAATTTATTTATTTTGCTTTGCTAGTAATATTTAGACCTTTTTATTTATTTAATTTTTGTTATGCCATCCTATCCAACATAAAATGAACAACTGCTAAATAATTATAAATTAAAATGTTTTTCTTGAAAACCTTTTTTATATGAATGAAGGGCCTTTTGGAGTCATCATTTAAGGGAGTTTGTCTCCAACATGAGTTACCTGATGTTGAGTAAGGGCTGAACTCCCACTGACAGCTTTTCCACATTCCTGACACTTACAGGGTTTCTCACTAGCATGGACCTCCTGATATGCAATGGGTTAGAAATTCTCACCCATGTGAACTCTCCAGTGCAGAAAGAGGGCTGAGCCTTGGAGGAAGGCTCTGCTCCATCTCTTTCCAGGGGACATGAGGCCGGAGCCAGGAACAAAGGCTGGGCCACATCTGCTTGTATGAAGGTTCTCCCCGTGTGAACCCGCTGGTGCTGAGAGAGGGCTGACCTTCGGCTGAAGGCCTTGCCACAGGCACCACAAGTGTAGGGCTTCTCCCCAGTGTGGACGCGCTGGTGTAGGGTGAGCTGGGAGCTCTGACTGAAGGCTTTGCCACATGTGGTGCATTCATAGGGCTTCTCGCCCGTGTGTACTCTGCGATGCTGCACGAGAGTACAGCTCCGGCTGAAGGCTTTGCCACAGTCACTGCATGTGTAGGGCTTCTCTCCAGTGTGGATCCTTGTGTGTTCTGTAAGGTGTGAGTTGAAGCCAAAGGCTCTACCACATTCTTTACACACATAAGGCTTCTCCCCAGTGTGAACCCTGTGATGGAGGAAAAGACTTGAGCTCTGGCTGAAGACTTTCCCACACTGGCTGCATCCGAAGGGCTTCTCTCCCGTGTGGATCCTCTGGTGCTGGATAAGGCTGGAGCTTCGGCTGAAGGCCTTCCCACACTGATTGCATCCATAGGGCTTCTCTCCCGTGTGGATCCTCTGGTGCTGAGTTAACTGGGGGCTCTGGCTGAAGGCTTTTCCACATTCCTTACATTTATAAGGTTTTTCTCCTGTGTGGATTATACGATGTTGAATAAGACTTGAACTTCGACTGAAGGCCTTCCCACATTCATTACACCCAAAGGGTTTTTCTCCAGTGTGAATTCTTTGATGTAAAACGAGGTAGGAATTGAGCCCAAACATTTTTCCACACTCCCCACATTTAAATGGTTTATTCCCAGTATGGACTCGCCGGTGCAGAGTAAGGCTTGAGCTCTGTGTAAAGGCTCGCCCACACGGACCACACTCAAAAGGCTTTTCCCCAGTATGACTTCTCTGATGGCGGCGTAAATCTGAATTATATTTGAAGGTTTTGCTGCAAACATCACATTTAAAGGCTCTTTCTCTTATTTTATTTCTTTTAAGTCCAACAACATTTTGGTTCAGATTGAAGTATCTATCAAGTGCAGCACACTCCTGGGTTCTTTCTCCCGGAGATTGTTCCTTACACATGACAGATTTCTCTCTAAAAAATGTCTTGAGAAGTTGAGGGGATTTCTTCAAACTCAGCCTAGCAGACTTTCCCAGGTTCTCTTCTTCTTTTCCTTCACAGTCCCAAGGTTCCTGGGACTCAGATGCCTGTGAATTTGCCCTTGAGAACCTTTTTGATAAAAATTCTGGGGCTTTTACTTCTTCAGAACATTTCTGGTCTAGAATGGATAGCTCCTTCTCAGTCCCAATCTCAGAATCTGTCACACAAAAACACAAATGAATTACTAAAGGAAATCATCCATCAACAATAATCTCCACAATGTGTTCTACACTGCTATAAACTATTTTGCAAAAAGACAGATGCTCCAAATTCAGAAGTATCAGATAAAAGGACAGCCAATCATCAGGATGAAAACATTCACATTCATTAGTTATCAAGGGAAGGAGAATCAAACAAATGATGACTTTTCAACTATCAAATCAGCAAATTAGTCCAGTCAACAATATTGAGAAGGCCAGGCACGTTCTATGTAAGAAATACAATAGGAAGACAAACACAGTCTCTGTTCTCAAGAAGCTTATGGTCTATTTAGGAAGACAGATAAGCAAGTAAATCCTCTGTACTAAGGGTTGAACCCAGAGCCTTGTGTGTACTAGACTAACACTCCACTACTAAGTTACACTACCTGCCCTTTTTATCTTATTTTGAGACAATGTCTTGCTAAGTTACCCCAGCTGAGCACTACAGGTATGCATCACCACACTTGACTGACTTATTATACCTAGGCCTCATGTCTGCCACTGCTGACTTGTTTCCTCATCCATCCCAGTGGGAATCTCATTTCTTCCTGGAATTGTCTGAATATATACACTGTACTGGAGCCCATAACCCATTTTTGTTTTCAGAATAATTCCATATCATACAGATTTTCTTTTTTCCTTTTTCTTTCTTTTTTTTGAGACAGGATCTCACTATGTAGTTTGGGGTGGCCTTGAACTTCTTATATAGACCAAACTGGTCTTAAACATGCAGAAATCCTCCTGCCTCAGCCTCTTGGGTGCTGGGATTACAGGCATGCACCACCATACCTGATTTATATGGGTAAACATTCTTTTTAAAGCTTTACTTGCAACCTTGTATTGATAAGGCAAGAGAGACTCCCTTTTCTGTTTTTAACTCCATATTAAGAGAAGTTACTTAAAATTCACTTAAGCTGTAGTTCACCCCAGTTGCTCTGGTTAGTTACCAACTCAGCAGGCCAGAGTCATAAAATGGGAACAGAACAAACAGGACAAATTGGGAAGTGGACTAAAAGTTAAACTGCAATGGTCATTGGAATTTGGTTGTCTGACCTTCTGGGAGAAGTAAACTTCGTAATAATTGTGTGATATTCTTGTAAGATTCCCAAAAATGAGGTAATAGCTACTATAGAAACCTAAAGAAGGTGAGACCAAGATCGGCGCAGACATCTTCTCTGGCTCTTGGTTAGAGACTGTCAGCTGCTCCCATAAAGCTTTGTTCATTCCTGCCTTGTTGGTTTTCTTGTGAATGCCTTTGTTGATGAACTTGCTTGCCATAACAGTATGGTGGCACATGGCAGCTAATCAAGAGGCTAAGGCAGGAGGATTGTGAGTACAAGCCTAGCTGGGGCAACTTAGTGAGACCCCGACTCAAAATAAAGTAATAATAATAACAACAACAACAACAGCAGCAACAACAACGATGAAGAGGGCTGAGGGTGTAGTTCAGTGGTAGAATGCCCTGGATTCAATCTCCAATGCTAGAAAAAAAAAATCAAGTCCAAGAACTCAAACATCTCACTATCGCCAGAACAAGATGGTGGTGTGGGAGAGCAGTGGGGAAGGAGCAAGTACAGAAGGTGCTACAAAGAGGTCTTTCTGCTCAATATTGGACTTTCTGCTAAATATTTTATAGATAATATAATACTTGACATTGATGAGAATTGAACAATTAATCTCTGTCATATACTGCTGGAGTAACTATAAACAGGATTTTTACATGGAGAGTTGGTACTATGTACCAAAAGAATTAATATATTATATACTCTTTGTCCCGAAAATTACTCTTCAAGAATTTATCCTTAGTAGTTATATGCACAAAGAAGTGACTATTAGGAAAATCACTGAAGTGTTCTTAATTGTGGGGTAAAGAGAAAAACCCAAATGTTCAAAAAATAAGAAGAGGCCAGGTATGGTGAGCACAGCTGTAATCCCAGCACTGAGGCAGGAGGAGCACTGCTAGTTTGTGGCCAGCCTGGGCTACATAGTGAATTCAGTGCCAACATGAACTACATAGTAAGACCCTGTCTCAAAAACAAAAACAAACAAAAAATAGGGTATAAGTTTACTCAATGGTAGAGACTTGCTTAGCATGCTCAAGGGCCTTAGTTTTGTCTCAGCATTGTAAAAATAAACAATAAAAACCAAAACTACAACAAACAAAAACCCTAAAATGGAGGTTTAAAGTAATGACAGACTATTCATATAATGGAATATCTTTCTGGTATTATAATTGTACAATAGAAGAATATGTAATTAAAGAAAATATTTGTGATATAAGATAAAAAATCAGGTCCTAAAATTATATGTACAACATAAAACAACTTTTTTTGAAAATATATAGTAAAGCTGGGTGTGGTGGCACATGCCTGTAATCCCAGCACTCAGAAGGCTGAGGCAGGAGAATCACTGAGAGTTGGAGACCAGCCTGGGCTACAAAGTGAACTCAAGGCCAGCCTGAACTTCATAGCAAGACCTCGTCTCAAAAAAAAAAAACAACAACAAAACAACAACAACAAAATACACACACACACACATATATATATATAGTACAGTAAGTTGCATTTCTTTCTTAAATGCTTAGTATATGCTGATAAAACCAAATGGGCTTGCCATTCTCTCTGACAAAAGGTTGTAAGTATGACTCAATTTCTTTAATACTAAGAGGATTATGTGTCAGTCTTCCTATCACAACCTTGAAAATTATTTTTCTAGAATATTTATACATTTTAACTCCATATTAAAAACTTGTGATATAAATGTGTTCAAAATGTCTTTTTAAAATCTTTAGTATCTGTGTTGATGGCTCATTTTCTTTATATAGTTACATGTTTTTTTCCCAAGATCACATGACTTTAAGGTAGTACATTCATAGAAAAGGCCAAGTTTCACTCCCAGGCATGTTCTCGTCCTCAGACTTTAACGATTTAGCAGATGCAGGTGTGGCCAGTCATGGTGGCGAACACCTGTAATCCCAGCACTTGGGAGACTGAAGCAGGAGGATTGTTGCAAGTTTGAGACCAGCCTGGGCTACAAAGTGAGCTCAAGGCCAGCCTGAACTGCATAGCGAG